ATGCCATTAGTGGCTTCGTCCAGTGGTCAGCGCAAGTTCTGCTGGCCGTCTGACAGCGGCGACTCTGATTCAGACGAGGGGAATGCGATGCCGACAGATGACGTACGACAGGACAACGCTCTGGTGCTGTGGTGGGCCGGCCCATTGGGCTCCACCAATGAGAGGCTGCAGGAGGAGGAGCCAGCAGTCATTGAAAGCTAGAACTTTTGATTGTAAAAACTGCACACCAAACGGACCCATAATCTACTGCCAAACCTATCATACTGATTGTTAAGGTGAAGAGTTGTAAGGCTGTAATTCTGCATTGGTTTTAATTGTAGAATAGTCCTTTTTTTTTTTTAAATCCTCTGGCCTTTTTGCATGCCGCTAGGTTCATAAACCTCAATCTGTGAATGTCTAAAAGTCAAAACGAACCAAAATCAATTGAATTGAAACTGGTTCCGACAAGAAATTATGATTTAGATGACCTGGAACACCTCTGAAATATGAATAATTCATTCATAGTTTTCATTTTTGTTTCGATGGCTCCTTAAATTGATGTTTACGTTGGGTTTTCTAGCAATGCTTTCAGGATCTGCCCTGTCGCTGCTGGAGTGAGATGCCTCTCAGGTTTACCATTTACCTGCACGGCCTTTTCCGATTCGCTTTGGGTTTGTTTTCCTTTCACCTGCTTTCAGGAAACACGTCGAGCCTTGTCTGGGACTTTCAGTGAAGACAGAACAGGAGCAGGTTTAATCCATGTAAGACATGATTTTGACAGAGGGAAGGTCTGTGTATGATGGACTGAGACGGTTTATCTAATGTTAAATGTGTTATAGAGCTACAGTGGACAGCTGTGAATATATTTTTGTAAGCCAGTAATCTGCTTTATTGTGTGTGAATGTGGTTGGTTTCCTGCCTCTCAATGAGCCTCGTTGCTTTAGCTGAGGCGGCACATTCCCTTTTATAATAACCAGTGTTTGTTTGTTTGTGTGTGTGCGAGAGTCTTTTCATATTCTAATGTTAGCTGTCGTCTTGACACAGTGGTGTGCATTTTTACAAATGTACACTTTTACCTTGTGTGTATGTTCTGTAATTTACTCTTTAAAGCAGTGGGTTTGAATGTTTCAGGCTTGCCAAACATGCTCTAGTCGTCATATTACATCCACTGCTGAAAGCTTCAGTTTTTGTACAAATGTGTGACACAACCCCTTTTATTTTGTACAGTTTTCCCGGATTGTAAGCCATCTCATTCAGGTCTGCTTGTGGCTCTTTCTGCTCGGAGGAACCGTTTGCTACAGGTAGATCGCAGTGGCTAAGATGAATAAACATGTTTACATAAAAAAATGTCACTGTCTTTCTGTGATTAGTGGTGTTTGCAAAAGGTAAGTTACTATTGCGAATGCTTTGAACAAACCTCTAACTCATAGTGTTAAACTTCATGGGCGCGTGACTTCTCCCGTCCAGCATTTGTTCTATGATATCATGCCGATTTCAAAGCAATCATAGGCCCAATTCATTAAAGTTGTCTTCGAATTTTATATTTTTAAGATTTTTTCTTAAGACGTTTGTTAGGATGTACCATGCAAAGAGCATCGGGTTTTTTTTTCAGCACTGTATTACAACAATTCCAATACAGACCAAATTTTGTAAGGCATATTTGAAAGAAGTTATTATAAAGTAAATTAATTTTTAATAATTTTTTTTTTTTTTTTTTACATTTTTTTAATTATCAAATTTTGAATGAAAAACAATCTTAAGAAAAAAAGTTAACATTCTTAGTCACAGTAAAACGGCAAATCTTTTCCATATTTTTACCTAAAATCAAAGTTTGATGGATTATCGAAGAATAAAAAAAATGTAGGGCGGTTTGTATTGGATGTGAGTGTTGTACTCAGTCGATTGTGAAGGGGTCATCATGTGAACTAAGTGATTGGAGAAGTCGGACATGTCACCAAAAGAGAAGTTATTTTCACTGGAAGATTAAGTTAATTAAACATTGGGAACAGAATAAAATCTGTAATTTGCGAAATAGATGTTACAGGGTAATTTTCTTCATGCTGACTGTAAGTATTTTTTGTAACACAAAACTTATTTTAAAGGGGTGGTATAATGCCCTTTTTTCAAGATGTAAAATAAGTCTCTGATGTCTCCAGAGTGTTTTAGCTCAAAATACCGCACAGATCATTTTTGTAGCATGGTAAAATTGTCCCTTTTTGAGGGTGAGCAAAAACGCGTTGTTTTGTGTGTGTCCCTTTAAATGCAAATAAGCTGCTGCTTCCGGCACAGAGGGCGGAGCTTCAAGAGCTCGTGTGTTAGCAGTTAGCAGAGCCATAGAGAGAAAGAGTTGCGACACTCCCATAGACCGCCATAGGAACTTTGGAATGCGGAAGTAACGCGTGTCGTGGAGCAGCCAATAGTTCCAAACACTGATAGTTCCCCCATTGAACCCCATTCATTTTCAGTGCTTCCGAAGTACGTTCGCTGGTAAATGAATCAAATTACTGTATTTTTGTACTTTTACACACATTAGCCGACCTCTCGTGAATCTAGTCTGTAGTTATATTTTATGTAGCCAGTTTTAGTAAATGTTTATTGGAAGATAATAGGTTAATTGCAGCGATAGCTTACGTGACCAACACTTCACTAACGTTAGCGAACTGGTAACCTGATGTATATAATATATAATATTTGTAATAATATTTTATATGTATATATATATGTATATATATAGCCTATATATAATATTATATACATACACACACACACAATTCATTTATTTAAATGGGTTAGGGCTATGCATGTGCTTATATGTATTTAGGAACATAGTTAATTCACTCTCCGGTTTAATTTTATGAAGAATATTTTTCGGTTGAATATTTACCGAACATTGCTGTATATAGTCGTTGCTTTCTACGTTATGGGAGCAGTCTATTCCCTGATAAATCATTCATTTGTACATGCACAGCGTAATTATTTATATTTTATGTTGGTTGGAATTCTGAACGGACCGCAGACCTCTTTGCGTGATCACGAAGCGGAATTTATAAGCAAGATCACGGGAATCAATAGCCTAATACAGCCCAGTTGTGCTAAAATAAATATCATGAGACGTCCATCATCAGATGAATGACATGGAAAAGTTAAGTTAGAGCCGCTAAAGCCAGTGCTACTACCCATGCGAACATGAACACTAGCGTTTCCCTCCAAAAATATAGCCTAAAACTTATCTAAGTTGTCACCCTGCCTCTCCAAATGCAAAACTGACATTAACAAAACGCAATAACAGCTTAAAAAGTACTTGGGTGTGTGTTTTATTTTATATTTACCGTTTAATAATGCAATCGCTGCTGTCTGTCCATAGAAGAACATGACAGCCCGCGTACGTTTTGGAACTATTGGAGCTTACATGAACCACGTGACAGCCGTCGCGGCGACATCAAAGAGTGTCGCAACTCTTTCTCTCTATGGCTCTGGCAGTTAGCAGGCAGCTTGCAGACACACACTAAAATGTCAGAAAATATCTCCCTTTGCTTTAAACTTTGAGCGTTGTAACTTTGCAGATGTTGTTTATGCTCAAACATCAACATTACACACTAATTAAAGTTACAAAAGTTTAATATTGTTTGAGTTAGAAAATAAGAGTTGTATTTTTACTCCATCCCAAGATTTGTATTTTCACCTGGTAAATAAAACAAGTGAACACCTTGCAAACCACATATCATCATACAGACATACACAAAAACATTTAGAACTACATATCTCTTCTAAAGCAACTTACAAAAAGTTTTTTAGCTGCGTCTGCATCCGAAGATTAGTTAGGATGTTGCTGTTTGCACATAATGTGAGGAGGAAAAGCAAAGTGCTTTGCCCTGCTATAGGAGCGATGTGTTGAAGGTGTGACATTCAGCATTGACTGACTGTAGGATCGTGTCTGTCTGAGAAAAGGTCTGACTTAGTGGATGTTCAGCTGGGTGAATCTGGTTCATATGTGGGCGCAAATGGCAGGAAGTTGTCAAGTGTGACTAGAGGTTGTTGTTTTTTGCTTTCTGTGTGGGTGAAAAGAGCTGAGAATGATGAGGTCTTGGCAAAGTTGTTTCCTCACTTGGATGAACAGAGTTTTTTTTTATAAATTCTGCTTCAGATGATGGCCTTTCATCCAGGCATTAATGCTTGCCAGACATGCAGTGATTCGTGAGGATACCTGGTTGTTAGAGGGATGAAATAAGATAATTAGTTGAGTATCTTCATAAGAACGATGTAAAAGGTGATGAATACTGATTTGATGTAAAGGGGGAATAAAAGCGGTCTATGTACTGAGCCCTGTGGCACTCCAGTGGGTATGACCCAGCTGGTGAACGTGATTTCACCAAGTACCACATGTACCACATGTTCCTGGATCAACATCTTTGTTGATCCTGGAACAACTTTCCAATCAACCAATCAGATTTGAGGCACAAGTTTACAGTTTATGTCAAGTTTAGGCTTAGATCCAGGATGAAGTACTTAAACATCTACCATTACCCTCTGATTTTAGGGAAAAGTTAGGGAAAAGTTATGGGTAGGGATTGGGTAAGGACTACATTTTGGGACAGGAATGTTGATCCAGAAACATGTCTTAGTTTGGCAAAATCACGGTGACCGGGGACAGCTGGCATCATGGCAGCAACTTTTGCATGGGCAAGCGCCAGTCATATTGTATTTAAAAAATGTAAAAATCTGTTGTTGTTGTTTTCTATTTTAATTTAATTTTAAATATGTAATTTTAATGTTTTAGTTTTGGGATTAATTTTTGATTTGATTTATTGTTTTAGAATATCTCTGTATGTTTTGGTTTCAAAATATCTGAGGTTCCATTTTGAGCATTATATTCCATTTTAGGCTCTTTGTATTGCACAAACTGTGACCCACAAATGAGCATGAACCCTGAAGCAAAACATCTCAAATGACTAGCGCAGTGGGAGGCTGCTCATAAAACACTTCCACACAATCAAACGCACACACATACACACACACACACACACGCTGGCAGGCATCTTGTCTGAAATCTCTTGGATCAAATCATTCTTGAATGCTAAGCAGCGCACAGTCTGTTGTTTTGTTGTCCATGTTGCTAAGCGACCATCAGCAAGTCAAAGGCTGAGAGAAAAGACAAATCCCGAAAGAGAATGAGACGTGGTGGAGGGCAGGAAATTGTGAGTTTTTAACAACGAATCTCTGGTGCTTCTGTGGACCAAGGTTCAGTGTTTGTGAAGGCAAAATGTGGGACACGAGGTCTCTCGAGAAGATGGTGAACAGGACGACTCTGAGCACACAGAGAGTGCTCCACACACACATTCTGGGTGAGTGTAGCCTTAATACCACACAAACATCCTCTCTCTTCAAGCCTTTATTAGCGCATACCAGGTCACATATAGGTTCCTCTCCGGTAGAGTAATCTGAATTCATGCCGAAGGGCAGAACAGAACATTCTCTGCCTCAGACAACCAGAGTAAAACTCACAGCAATCAGCGCCATCAACCTCCACACGTCCAGCCTAATGACTCTGGCATTTACTACCGCAGTGTCTGCTCCTGGACTTTTGTCCAACAAACAGAGAAATGTAGGAAGAGAGGTCAAAAATGATACACAAGTTCATCCACACACACACAAAAAAAAATGAATATGTATTTGAGAGAAACAAAAATATATACTTACTTAAAAGTTGCTCTTTCAGAACTTAAAGGTATATTTCACCCAAAGTCTTAAAGGGATAGTTCACCCAAAAATGAAAATTGTCATCATTTACTTACTCTCATGTTGGTCCAAACCTGTATTACTTTGGGTGAACTATCTAACTATTTATGTTTCATGTGTATTATTAGTTCTTGAAACACATCTTCAGATGCACCTGAACATATCATCAGTGATGTAACCTGGGGTCCTCAGGTGTTTCGGGTCTTTCAACATTAGCCACCCTCGCCCAGGCGACCCAGCCACGGCTGATCAGACCGCGACTTGTGTTCAGGTAGCACTCGCTTGCCCCCATGGTGCTCCTCTACGGATCCAGAGCCATCTCGAGGCTCTCTCGGCTGCGTCGGTGGTGTTCTTGATGGCCCTGCTCCTTGTTGTTCCTGCAATGCCCAGCGCAGTAAAGGCTTTGTGGAGGGAGCGCCCCACAAATCCTCTGCAGCCAACCTCGATAGGCATCTCGCCTTCCAGCCCTGTGCTCGGCAGTCTGTGACCAGATGTTTATATTTGGTCGTCTTTCTTTCGTGGGCTTCTCCCAAGCGGTCCTCCCATGGCACGGTCAGCTACATGATGATTATATTCTTGGTGCTCTCTGATGTTTCTCCTGAAATTTCTTACACCGTGTCTATACACCTGACACAATGGGCGCAACAAAATGTCAAATGCAAATCCAGCATGCCACATCCAGTGTGGACATGTAAGAAACAGAAAGTCGTAACAATCCTGAAGCTACTTCTGATTCGAAGGACTGTTACGACCTGCGTTTCTTGTATTTGTTCTATTGCGCTTTTTTTCTCTCCCTTTTCTTTCTTGTTCTGTCTGATTTCTGATTTTTGTCCAGTGATGGTGTGTACGATCGTCATTGGTTGTCCAGTCGAGGCGTGGATTTGCAGCGGTTGCTTTGCCGTGGACAGCTTCTTGCGACAACGGTTGTGTCTCGTTTAGACACGGTGTTAAGGTCCTTGCACACTGAGTCGGAAATTCTCGTCCAAAATCTTTCGGCACGTTTACACACTGCCTCCGAAACTTTTGTCCGTCCAAAAAAAAATTGGATAGGGATCAATTTTATGCATTTTTCGCATTCGTAGCAACCATTTCAAGAGGTGTTTTGACAATTCAGAGCCACTGAATGACGAATACGAAAAAACGTATACGAAAATTTAGGATAGAAAAGAAGTAGACACAAATAAAACAACTGTTGACATTAAGAATAGAACTGTAAATGAACGTGGACAACATTTCTCAAAGACTTAAGTATTGGAAGAATTTAATCTGAGATATTTGGGAAAAGCTCTTTACATTACAGTCTTGGGTATCTTGGTGAATCTGAGCACAGTTTGAGATGTTTCTCTTCTGAAACTCTAGAAAGAGTCATGTGGCTCTTTTTCCAAAGGAGGAACATGTGGAAAGACTTAAACCAAAGTTTTCATTTGCTCTCTATTAAGCGTCCAGGATAAACGAGTGAGATATTAGAGATAACATTTATGGTTTTTATTTCCTATATGTGCATCTGAGACACTTCCTTATGAAGCATGCATGAGATCTTCCGTTTATTTAAAAGCCATATGTCATTTTTATACGATTGTAATCAGTTGCCACCTGTTGCAACCACTGACTCTCATGCTAAAACCACTTCTTCTTTCAGAACTAGGAGAACAGTTGTGTCCGTGGTCATTTCCCAAGGCTAGAACGGACAACCACCTAAAATTGGCTCCAAACATGGTAAATTCACGACCTGCGATTGGACAGGAACAGCCGGACGCCCCCGTCGTGGAGGAATTTAAGCAGTTGGCAGAGGATGAGAAACGTGCTGCCCTTAAACTCCAAGAGGAGGTGAATATTTGTAATCCTCAAGTGAACCATGTCGAAAAAGTAATTAATACAGACATATTAGACTGCAACACTGTGTCTCCTGGAATTCAGAAAGCCATATTTCAGTCTCCAGGGAAGCAGTCCGGAGAGATTTGATTAGGACTTGATTAAAACTTTCTGATAAAAAGACTCGGCTTCTAATTAGGGCCCAAGCCCAAAGGGCGAAGGGCCTATTGTTTTCCTTAGGATTATTAGGGCCCAAGCCTTGAAAAGGCGAAGGCCCTATTGTTTTCCTTAGGATTATTAGGGCCCAAGCCTTGAAAAGGCGAAGGCCCTATTGTTTTCCTTAGGATTATTTTTTTTTTTTTTTTTTTTTTTCTCCTCTTTTATTTTTCTTACGACTATTCGGGCACTTTTGGGGCTCTTAACGTGCACGAAAACTCTTGAAACTTTGCACGCGGGTCAGAACCCGCGGCCATCAGGGTCGGGGTGAAGATGGTACCCGGGCGTGGCAGGGGGGCTCGACAGCGCCCCCTGGAACGGGGTCCGAAAACTTGGTCCATAAATCAAACACGCTTGTATGTAAGAATATGAAACTCGGTACACATATAGATCTCATCGGTTCACATATACTTCATGCTCTTACTTTTTACCCCAGCCCAACAGGAAGTCGGCTATTTAGGGTTGTTTGTAAAACGCATGCAATGGAATTTAAAGTACTTCTCCTAGAGAATTCAAAGAAATGCCACGAAACTCGGTCAGCATGAAGTCAAGACATTGAGGATGAAAAATTGCGAGGGGATTTTTGATATCTCGAACGGTTTGGCCGTGGCGAGGAAACGAAATTATGGCGAGAAACGTGAAACAGGAAGTGTGTTATAACTTCTGCATACATTAACTGATCTTGATGAAACTTCAGCAGTGTGTTCGCTGTAAGAGACCGATCACATGGATGTGACTATTGTGAGTCAAAGTTATAGCGCCACCAACTGGCAGCAGGAAGTGTGTCACTTTCAAAATGCTTTGAAATCACCCTCTTATTTTTACCTGATTTGCTTCAAACTTCATCTGTATAATGTAAACATACGCCAGATGTAGACCTGTGAATGGATTCTTGATATCTTTGATACTGTTGCCGTGGCAACACATCAAACTTTAAAATTCTTTTTTGATGCTTTTGAGACTCTTAGCATGCTTGAAATTGCATGAAACTCGACAGACATGTCACATATATTAGCCAGTAGACATGTGCAAAGTTTCAGGAACGGGCGTGGTGCAGGGACTCAGTAGCGCCACCTTTTGACAAAAGTGAGAGGGTTAGTTTCATAGTTTTACCTGCAATCTTAAAACTCGGTAGGCATATTGTTCAGATCAAGCCGGACAACTTTCTAATTTACAGATTTTGGTTCCGAACAACAGGAAGTCAGATATTTTGGTTTGAATGGGATGTTTTGGAGTAATCTCTGTCCCTCTCTCCCTCTCTCTGCATACCTCTGTGTCTGTGGGGGGAGGGGGATGTGTCTGTTTGAGTGACAAAGCTTTTAATTATTGTTGATCAAGGTTTTGGGGGCTTTTGGGGCCCTTAACATCCTCTAAAACTCTTGAAACTTTGCACACGGGTCAGAACCCGTGGCCATCAGGGCCGGACTGAAGCTGGTACCCGGGCGTGGCAGGGCGGACCGACAGCGCCCCCTGGACTGGGATTCGAACACTTGTCCATAAATCAAAGACACTTGCATGTAATAATATGAAACTCGGTACACTTATAGATCTCATTGGGTTGAACAACTTTCGTGCTCTAAGTTTTACGACATCCCAACAGGAAGCCGGCTATCATGGTTTGTTTGGAAACGCATACCCCTGAAATTCTATTTAATTCTCCTTGGGAATTGATCGGATTTCAAGCAAACTCGGTTAGCGTGACGTCAAGACATTGATGATGCTAAATTCCGGAGGGATTTTTGATATCTCGAACGGTTTGGCCGTGGCGAGGAAATTAATTTTATGACTAAAAAAGGACACATAAAGTGTGTTATAACTTTGCTCGTTTTACCTACAGTTACAAAACTTGCCACGCATATTGTTCTCATCAAGCCAATCGACTTTCTAATTTAAAGTCATTAGCTCAGAGCAACAGAAAGTCAGATATTGTAGTTTGAATGGATTTCTTGTCCCCCTGCCATTCTGTTTGTGTGTGTGTGTGTGTGTGTGTCTGTGTGGGGAGGGGGAGGGGGAGGGGGGGAGGGGGGGGGGGGTGGGGGCTCTTTGAGTGATAGGTTAGTTTAAACACCAACTCATACATAGGGCCATACTGCCCTCTTGTGTTCAAAATTATATACATATTTGGTATGTGACTGAGGATCGAGAGCTTTTAAATACGGACGTCCACATTGATAATGGTGGCGCTTGCAGAGCGCTCGAATGAATAAATTAACTAAACGTTCACTCAGCTCTGCTCGCTCGTCGCCATGGACGCGCACCGTTATGAATGCCCAGTGTTTCCCCTAGGATTTTTTTTCGGGGGGGGGGGTGGGGGATTGGGGGAACTGCTAGTGTTGCGGAGCGGGTGTATTACGAATACGTGGTGTAAATTTTTTAGCAATCAAAAAGCATGTCTAATTAATTGAAATAGTGTATTATGAATCATTAAACGTATACAACATTTAAAAAAAATATGAAAAAAAATGTCACACTAATTCTGTGTTGTGTTTTTTCTGGTAATAAAATGAAGACATAAAACACAAATTGTATCATTTATCATCAATTTTAATCATATGAAATTAAATAAACTTTTTGTCAAATAACGTGCTGCACAATGAGCTTTACTGTTAAAATTAAAACATGGATTATTCCTTAAATTCAGTTTTGATGATAATTTATTTGGATTAGTGTTAGTATTATTACATTGGGACATATCTAAATTCTACTGTACAACGGTAATATGTTTCTGTCAAGTTAAACTGAACTTTTATTTTGACGGGTTGCCGTGAAGACCTTTTGAGTTTGTTTGTTTATGTCATAATGATAGTTTTTCTCAAATGAAGCGGTTAAATGATCACGAAGTGACTTTCGGAGTGGATCTAGAGCCTAAATACTAGTATCTATTAATAGGTACTAGTATCTAAAAGGTAATTTTCTCTCTCTCTCTCTCTCTCTCTCTCTCTCTCTCTCTCTCTCTCTCTGAGCCAATATGGCAAGCCGTTTTAACATTTAATCATTTTAACCTACTAGTCTCTATTTTCATGCTACTAGTACTTATTTTTTAGATACTAGTATCTATTCCATTAAAGGACAACTCCGGTGCAAAATGAACCTCGGGTGTAATAACACATTGGTACAGACTAAATCGTTCCCTGAGATTTGTTTTCATGATAATCGAATGTAAAGAGTTTTATCTCTAAAAACAGTTTAGCTTATAACGCTAGTATATTGGGCATCGAGTAAGCAAAAAGAGATCGCTAGTTAATACCATCAACAAGGCTCAAATTAGCCCCACACTAACACGGCAGCATAATGAGTGTCCTTACATTCAAATCGAAGCATTGAGAACTTTGTAAGTGTATAGACAGTTTAATAAGAAGATACTTTACACAGACAGTACAGCTAGCGCATACAGACAGGACCCATCTTGGAAAACAGCCTCGATCAGTCAAACCACGAACACGGTGATACGTGAGCTGAACTGTGACTTGGAATCTCATATGGTCCGTTGTTTCCGGAAGAAAGCACTGAGCGCATAAGAGAAGCACTGAACGCGACAGAGAAAATAAAAAAATAAATATAATTCATCTTATCTTCAATATCTACACGTACTGTTCGCTCACCTTCGTGGTTCGATTGATCGAGACTGTTTTCCAAGATGGCTGCTGTCTGTATGCGCTAACTGTACTGTCTGTGTAAAGTATCTTCTTATTAAACTGTCTATACACTTACAAAGTTCTCAATGCTTCGGTTTGCATGCAAGGACACTCATTATGCTGCCGTGTTAGTGTGGGGCTAATTTGAGCCTTGTTAATGGTATTAACTAGCGATCTCTTTTTGCTTACTCGATGCCCAATATACTAGCGTTATAAGCTAAATTGTTTTTAGAGATAAAACTCTTTATATTCGATTATCATGAAAACAAATCTCAGGGAACGATTTTCTGTACCAATGTGTTATTACACCCGAGGTTCATTTTGCGCCGGAGTTGTCCTTTAAGTACTAGTACTTATACATTAGCGACTAGTGCTCATTCTGTTTAGAATAGTCAAAGTGCTTATTCAATTTTTAAGCTTATTTATATTTTCAGAGCAGAAAATCCGATTTTTCTGCTTATTCAATATTGCATCTAAAATGTAAGTGACTTGACGTGTGTGTGTGTGTGTGTGTGTGTGTGTGTGTGTGTGTGTGTGTGAGAGAGAGATTGTGTCTGTTACAGTGACAAGAGTTTAACCCTTTAAGACCTTGTCTTTTTGGATATATATCTTTTTTTTTTATAAAAAAAAAGTGCATACAAGCCATATATTTTTAATATATAGTTTGCTTTAAATTAAATTAAGATTGTATGTTTGGTAATTGAACCTAAATAAATTTAAAACTAATGTGCTATATTTCAGATAAATATATTTGTTTTCCTTCATTTTAATCAACACTAACTTTATTCTCATCTGAATTATAAATAACTTATTTCTGTATAAAATACAAAATCCCGAATAATCCAGACCAACCAGAGCGCACTATTTCTACAACATCATCAGTGCTGAAGCGGAACTACCAGAGCCGTTCGGCAGATAGCGAGCAGATATTTTGTGTCACGTCGTGCACAATAACCCTAAAGGCACCAGGGTGGCGGTGCCACCGGCTTTTTTATATATATATATATATATATATATATATATATATATAAATATAGCTGCGAGCAGCGATGAAGGGCCAAAGCCGGCGGCACCGCCACCCCGGTGCCTTTAGGTAACTAAAGGCACCAGGGTTGCGGTGCCACCGGCTTGGGCCCGTAATCGCTGCTCGCAGCTATATTTATT